TGAGCATGTTATGCTTTAAGTTCTTAAAAGTTAGAAGTAGCTGGGGCTGGAGAGATGGCTCAGCAGTTAAGAATACTGATTGTTCTTGCAGAAGACCCGGGTTCGAATCCCAGCACCCACATGGCAGCTAACAACTGTCTGTAACTCCAGTCCCCAGGGATCAGACAGCCTCTTCTGTCCTCCGCAGGCATTGCATGTGCACTTACCTACATGCAGGCGATACACACATACACATAAAATTTAAGAAAATTTTTTAAATTAAAAAAAAAAAGTTAGAAGTAGCTGTGGACCATGTGCTTACAAGACCCCTGGAACTTTTGAAGAACCCTAGGGTTCAACAGAAGTTTGAAAGCCATGTTCTAGTCCAACTCCTGCCCATAGGTAAGTCTTTGCAAAACCCCTAGACCCAAAGTTGAAGCCGTTGTGTCTCTGCAGGTGTACCCCAAGAGCTCTATTGGGATACCTTTAGGAAATTCTCCATCATAAGAATTTATTTCAAAGTACATCCTTTTCCTTTTCTTATACTTAATACTCCACATCCAGAGATGGTCTAATGTCAGTTCCCAGTGACCCTGCCCCTTCCTGGTAGAGGGCATCTTTCAGATTCAGTGTGCACAATGGCAGCTCCTTTCTCTCCACTTCTCATTCCATTCCACTTGTCAGTCTCACCTGGCTGAGCAAGGAACCCAGCAGCTTCCGCAGCTCCCTCCCTGAGAGCTATACGAGGCGGGCTAGAGCCTGCCATCCTCTCATGTGGTAGCCTCCAGCTTCCATCACTGTCAGAGGGGTCACACTCTGGTAGCCAAGATGCCCTTCCAAGAGAAGAGATCTGATCCAGAGCTGCCATCAGGTAATCTATCTGTTGAAGATTTCTGTATATCCTGGTTGCAAGAATTAGCTTCAGAGCATTGCAGACGAGGGCAAGACTTAATTAAACGTGTAGACTTCTGGTCCTGGAATACTTGTGGTGCCTCTTTGTTTCTAGAACTCCAATTCAGACTTGGAACATGAGCTGGAAAGCCACTGCAGGGTTTACGGAGCTTTCTGACATACCCATTCTTAGAGGGGAAGCCCTCATGGTTGCCAGGATCCGAGGGCCAGATCGTGAGGTATAGAGAAAATCTGACAGGATAGCAGCCGAGCCTTGATATACTCAGGGCCTCTTTTTGACTCTAGGAGCTGAGGGCTCCCTGCCCAAGATCCATCTGCTATCAGGCCCCACTTTGCACCTTAGATGTGTTGAGAAGTGTTGTCCACTCTTTGCTGGGCAGCTTCAGCAGCTAAAAAGCTGGGACAGCCTGTGACCAGCATCCTCTGGAAGCCTCAGAGGATAGACTCTCGGGGTTGGAACTCGGTAGAAGTCCCGACTCATTTCTTGTTTTGAAAGAGAAGGCTGTCTATCCAAAGTTGGTGGAACTAAAACTTCTAAGACATAGGACCCTTTTTTTTTCTTTTTCTTTTTTATTGTTCACATCCTAAAAGCCCTAACTTGGAACTTTTCTTATTCAGAAGTAAGAGAGTAGCCCTTGGTCTGCCCTTGAACTTCCTTAAGTCTTAGATAAGATTGAGTTCAGCAGGGTTGGAGTTCCCAGCAAAGCCAAGCATCCCATCCTTTCTCAGTCAACCTGTGAGCAGGAATCACTCTGATCCTGGCTGGTGACCCCATCCTCAGTGGTGTTGGGTTAACCCCCCATCCCACACTGCACGCTGCAGAGATGGCCTGCATGTGTGCATGCGGTGTGCTTGCAGACATGCTCACTTTCCAGTTGTTCCTCTAGACCTTTTCACTGTATCTGCGTGTTTCTTGTGCTTCGTGCCCTTGATAGCTTTGGAGTGGGATGACAGCAGGGTCATCTGATCAAATAACTGTCTTCACCAATTCCTTGTTGTAGACTATTGGGGAGAGTCTTATTACAGTGACCTCATCGACTTGCACCTGGGTGGTATGTATGGCAGCCATCTGCTGGCACTAACCCCGCAATACCCTTCCCTCTCATTCTCCGTCCCAGTCCCTGCTCCCAAACAGCAAAGAGAAACCAACCTTATAACCAAATAGCAAAGCACAAACCCTTTTCCAGGCTCAGCGTCAAGAGCACTAGCACCACCAAAAAAAAAAAAAAAAAATTGGCAAACAAAGCAGCTGTCAGATCCCTACTTCTGCTCGTGTATGCCCCAGAGGAAGATTTAAGATAGCTCCTGCTGCTTGAGATTTTTTTCTAATTTTTTTATTTAAAAAAAAAAAAAAGCAAAAACCTTCTCCTGCTCCCCGCACCCGGATCTACACCCCAGTCCCTTTCTTGATGTTTGTTCATTCACACTCAAGTCCAGCCTGACTTTTATCCTGAATCAGCCCTTACAGTGCATATGAATCAGCATCCATGAGGATGCCCTCTGCCAGCCACACTTAGGAAGCAAGCATGGGGCTGGGGGTGTAACTCAGTGGTCAGGCCTAGCATGCCCAAGACCCTGCTTCAACCCCCAGCACCTAAAAATAAAATATTTTTTTAAATGGCAACAACCAAACATCATGAACTCAGCGTCAGTCATTTTTATTGGGGTGTGTCACATTTTCCCTAGGGCGTAGGAAAGACCTCGCTATTGCCATTTCTGCTCAGATTTGACTTGAGGCTAGGTTAAAGGATATCCAAAATGATGTCCCTTCCTCCCTGTCATGTCCTGGGACTCACTTTGTACCTCCTTTCAGTGACAGTAGGAAAGCTAGGGCAGTGGTTCTCAAAATGTGGGCCCGGGTCCGGCAGCACCTGGATCTCTGAGGGCCTGTTAGACATGCAGATTCTCAGACCCCAACCCAGATCTTCTGAATCAGAAACTGCACAGAAAAGCATAGTTTTAACAGATCTATTTTAACAGATCTTCCAGCTGATTTTGATCCTTTAAAGCAGGAAAAACTAGCCAAATGGAATTCAGTATTTGCTTTTTCTGTACAAAGATCACCAGAGAAACAGACATTATCTGAGTGTCATTGCTAGACTTTGAGCTCTTTCCTCCTGGAAACCTGCCATATGGTAAGAGGAGTCCCCAGCTATTGGTTCTCAGGTTTAGTGAGAGCATCTGCCTGACTCCCGTTTTTTTCTTTTTTTTTTTTTGGCTTTTTTTTTTTGGCTTTTTGAGACAGGGTCTCCCTGTAGCACCAGCTGAACTCACTATATAGACCAGGCTGGCCTTGAACTCACAGAGATCCGCCTGCCTCTGCTTCCTGAGTGCTGGGACTAAAGGCATGCAACACCATGCCCAGCCTGACTCCCCTCCTCTTGATCAGGCACTCTCATCTCTTCACCTGCCCATGAGGGCTCCATGCCTCATGAAGTCCTAGCACTGGGGAGCCCTAAGGCCGGGGGATTGCTGTGAGCTTAAGGCCAACCTGGGCTGCATAGTAGGTTCTAGGCTAGTTTGAGACTGTCTCAAAAAATGTAAGCCAGGTGTCGTGGCAGCACTTGGGAGGCAGAGGCAGGCAAATATCTGTGAGATTGAGGTCAGCCTGTTTACATAGCGAGTTTCAGGCCAGCCAGGGCCACAGGGAGAGTGTCTCAAAATAAAAACAAAAATCTTCAAAATAAATAGATGTAAAAACCAGAGCTGCGGAGATGGCTTAGTCAGTAAAGTCCCTGTCGAGCATGAGGGCTCAAGTTAAGATTCTCCAGCACCCCATGAAGAAAAGCCACACATGGTGGTGTGTACTTGTAATCCTAGCTCTGGGGAAGGACAGCTGGCTCACTGGCCAGCTAGTCTTGCCTAATCAGTAAGCTCCAGGTTCAGTGACAAACCCTGTCTGAAAACAAGGTAGAAGGCTGGTAAGGTGCTCAGTAAGTAAAGGTACTTGCTGCCAAGCCTGATGACCTGAGTTCAATCCCTGGGACCCACATGATGGGAGAACCAGCTGCTAACAGTTGTCCACTGACAGACACACACACACACATACACACACACACACACACACACACACACACATACACACACACACATTTTAAAATATTTTAAAATAATGTAGACACAGTAAATAAATGTAATAATAATAAAAATTTTTAGGGGCTGGATAGATGGCTCAACAATTAAGAGCACTGGCTGCTCTTACAGAGGACCAGGGTTGGTTCAGTTCCCAGCATCCAAATAGTGGCTGTTAACCATCAATAACTCCAGTTCCAGGAAATCTGACACCCTCTTCTGGCCTCCATAGGCACAACATGGGTGTACTTACATACATGTAGACATAATATTCATACACATAAAATTAAAATAAATAATTTTTTTTAATTTTAAGTAGCCAGGCATGGTGGCATATGCCTTTAATCCCAGCACTTGGGAGGCAGAGGCAGGCAAACTTCTCTATAAGTTTGAAGCCAGCCTGATCTACATAGCGAATTCGAGGCCAGCTGAGCTACAGGGAGATCCTGTTTCAAAAAGACAAAAAAAAAAATTTATTTTTTTTTAGTAGAAGAAGATAACCAGTGTGTCAGCCTCTGGTCTTCACGCATCCATACCCACATGCACATGTGCATACACACACAAACAATCTTACACATATACAACACACATGAATAAAATAATATCAAAACCAGGCCTAGGGGCATGGCTCTGTGGTACAGCACTCGCCTAGCCAGCATGAGGTTCTTGGATCCATCCCCTGCACCATAATAAAAAAAAAAAATCCCTAAGTCTGATTTCTGCAAGGATGTCCTTAGACACCTTGCTGATCCAGAGGTGGGACCCTTGGTGCCTTGGTAGGTGGGATTGGTAGGCCTCTGTTCTCTTCATCCCCATCCTATGCTTCCAGGGATCCACCAGGCTACAAGCCCCTTCAGCATCCAGCTTCTGGAGTGCTAGGGGACTCTCCTATGGCCATTGATGCTGTAAAAGGGCTGATGCTTGCACCCCAGTTAACAGACCCTGCCCTGTCTAATACCCTGTCTCTCCCTCTTTGCCTCCTCCTAACACTTCTTAGGGAATGTTTGTGTCAATTCTAAGTTGATCTCCATGTGTAAAAAGATAATTTACAGTCAGGACATTGTGGAGGGGGCAGGCCAGGCCTTCTTGTTTACACCCCTAACCTGTCCCTGCAGCTTCAGATGTTGGCTCGTGCCCGTAAACTGTCTCATGTATGTCTTGAATGTCTTTAACACACTGCTCAGGTAAGGAAATGCAGTGGACTGTTTTTTTGTGGCCCTGGACTCCAAATTGTAGTCTTGGATTTAGTATGCTGGAAGATTCTGGCATCAAATGAAATAACTGGGGGAAAAAAGAAACTCATTGTGCCTTTGATGTCTTCAACACCCCATCCCTCCCCACCCCCCATCAAAAACCCTGCAAGTACTGCTTCCTGGTTCCCACCTCATCACTTCTTCTTTGCCAGCCACTCTGATTTGTATGTGGGTGTGCTCTAGCTTCCTAGTGAACAGAGGCTGCTGTCCTGACTAAGAACCTGTGAACAAGCACTTCTGTCTGAAGTGAGGTGCTTTGTACTCTAGGGAAAGAGCATGGGTCACCAGGCCCTCTTCTTAGCATGCCCCAAAAAGGAAGACATAGATGTCACAGGTTATCAGTCTGCTAGTGTTTAACCCTTGGGGCACATGTTTTAATATTCATTATTTGAGCGGGAGTAATTGCCCTTTTGAAATCTGGAACCTAAAGTGGAGAAGCTGATCGATCATCTTTCCTACCTCCCCAAAAGCCCAGACAGAAATCCTGTTTCTGGACAGGGCACCAATATTACTGGAAACAGAGCTCCAAACAGCACTTGGAGGATTAGGAAGTCTCTGTCATCTGCAAAATCCAGACTGATTCCTGCCCCTGCCCACCACAGTATCTCAGTGGGTCTTTCAGTAGCTCTTAGCCTGCAACATATAGGCTTGAGACCCACATTAAAAGTCTTCTTTTTTTTTTTTTGAGACAGGCCTTACTGTCTAACCCAGGCTGGCCTTGAATTCTGTCTCCTGAGTGCTGAGATTAAAGGTGTGCATCATCAAGCCTAGCTTAAAAGTCTCTTTTTTGAATCATGCACAGTACTTTTGTTCCAGTACTTGGAAGACATAGAGAGTACTGGAACAGTACAGGCAACTTCAAGGATAGCCTGGGCTACATGTGAGACTGTGTCTTTTAAGTTTAAAAGAAAAGTTAATTTTTAGATTTGGGCAGATGGCTCAGAGGCCCTGAGTTCAATGCACACACTAAAAAGAAAGAGAAGAAAGTCTTTTAGAGGCACAGAGTATAGAAAATAACAATTTTGAGCCAGGTATGGTGGTACACGCCTTTAATCCCAGCACTCGGGAGGCAGAGGCAGGCGGATCTCTGTGAGTTCAAGGCCAGCCTGGTCTGCATAGTGAGTTCCAGGACAGCTGGGGCTACAGGGACACCTTGTCTCAAAAAGACTAAAAATAGGGAGGGAGGGAGGGAGGGAGGGAGGGAGGAAGGAAGAAAGAAAGGAAGAAAGGAAGGAAGGGAAGGAAGGAAAGGAACAATTTTACTTCCTTAACTAGCTGGACCTTATGATTTGAAATGGGCTCAAAGGGCATATAGTGACCCATGACCCTGAGAGGAAGGGCCCCAAAATGCACTGCCCTGCCCCTCTTTCCCAGATAAAGTAGACAAGTACAGCCCAGCCAGCCCAGCATATCTTGTAACATTAGGGTAACAGGTGACTAGAAATCTAGAGAAAACCACATCTCTTCTGAAAAACTTAGATTGAAAATACACACATAGCCGGGCATGGTGGTACATGCCTGTAGTCCCAGCACTTGGGAGGCAGAGGCAGGCGGATCTCTGTGAGTTCAAGTCCAGCCTGGTCTACATAGTGAGTTCCAGGACGGCTGGGGCTACAGGGAGACCCTGTCTCAAAAAGACCAAATAAAAAAAAAATACACACATGTAACTTCCAATTTTATGGGTCCTCACCTTGATTTGTTTGTCTCAGAGGAAAATGAAAGGTCTA